GAGCATTGGATGCGATACTTTTACTTGACACAAATAAGTGTCATTACTTTACTGTATGTATAATTACCCAGGATACCTTTGACCATTGGCATTTGACAAATAAGCCACGGTTTACTTTGCCTTGGTTTTTCGGAGTGAAAATTAGGGCTTTAACTAATTCTATCTCCCGCATAATAGATGGCAGTTTGTGGCAATGGCAAAATATTTAATCCTGACCAAGGTATTTCGGCAGTTCAGAAAAAAAATCCACTGAAAGAATTTGATACGCTGATGATGCATACATGCCAACGCGCTTCTGAAAATTTCAAAAATTCGTTAGTTTTAGACTCAGAACCACATTGGCCATTTGTTGACACGATGCTAACATGCACCTCGGTATCGGCTTGAACAAGCATTTGGAACTGGTCCCATCTGACATAACTACTAGATACCGCCACCAGGTCAGTACATTATTGCTAGATACGGCCACCATGTCCGTGCATTACTAACAGATATGATCCCGCGTCGGTACATTATTAATAGATAACGATCACCAGGTCGGTACATTACTACTAGATACGATCACCAGGTCGGTACAAATTACTACTAGATACGATTACCAGGTCGTAACATTAATCATGGATGCGATCACCAGGTCGTAACATCCTGCTAGATACGGTCACCAGGTCGGTCGGATCGGCGGACCGCCTGCATTCACATCTGGCTCCACAGCATCTCCCAGCGACGTTGGGAAGACCGTCACGCACGTCTTTTATGCAATCAAACGCCAACGAAAACTGAACAACGAGCGGTAGCAATGCAGTCATTTCATAGAATAAAAATCAAAGTAACTGAGCGACCCGGATACTACTTTCGCTGCAATTTACCTTCTACCCTAATAATTCCGCCTCCTCGAAACATCGACGACAGACTCTGTGGTCGCTGGTACCGTCGCCGTTGGCACCTAGCAGGCGGCACCACTGGAACAGAACTACTGACTGACAGAACTGACAGAACTATGGGCGGCCGCCTTCTGGTCGCATGCGTCCACTGTCCGCTGCCAGCCTCGTCGAAACCCCGTGGTGTGTCGGGGCCGATCCAGCGTCGTCGGTCCGTGTGCTGGCGTCTGGTCCCAGCACGGTCATGGTCGGTCCTTGTGCCGGCGTCCAGTCCCAGCACGGTCATGGTCGGTCCTTGTGCCGGCGTCTGGTCCCAGCACGGCCACGGTCAGTCCGTGTGCCGGCGGCCGGTCCCAGTACGATCATGGTCGGTTCGTGTGCTGGCGTCCGGTCCCAGCACGGTCATGATCGGTCCGTGTGCCGGCGTCTGGTCCCAGCACGGTCATGTCCTCGCACCAGTGTCAGACGCGTCGCCGAGCAGCACGGCGCTGCGCCACGCCGCACGGTGGTCAGGACCGGTGGCGGAGCAGCGGGCTCGGTGGCCTGGAGGGGGGTCACCTAGGAGCCTTTGGGGCATCTGTGTCGCTCTCCTCCTCCCCCCCCCCGCGGAGGCAGACCCAGGTGGCGAACAACAGCGGACTCGGTAGCGTGCTGTCTTCCAGCAGCAGCACAGTCAGATGCCGCACCCTCCTCCTCCTCCGGCGACGACACGCCCAGGCGACGCACTCTTCCCCTTCACCGTGCGTACTCTAGCCATCCAACTACTGACCCTGTGTTGACTAGTATAAAAAAGTAAAATACCCGGCAAAAGGGACAGCGTGCACGTGACATTCATTGGCAAAAAGTAAGCTGACAAAAATTATAATTAATTAGTGACATCATTACTCAACATTACCTTCTGGGAATATATTTTGTCATGCGACTATGCAAGACAGACCATCAAGATTCATTTATAACTGAATAATCACATTTATATCATATGCTCCTAACCGCATCATTTTACGCTTAGTATATAGTTGTTTTTATCGAAAAAGTATGATCCGTTGGTTGTGGTACTGTAGTGGCACAATCGACGAAAGCAATCAGTGCACTGACTGCTTTTTCGAGCTGAGCACTGTGGCCGAGGCAAATTGATGGCAGAACTCGGCATCACATTAATTATGTTACGCAAGACGTGTCGTGGTCGGGTCAGGCCGGAGCCGTCAAGTCGTATGTCCTTATGACGGCACTCGTCCCCTTTTACGATTTCAGCTGGACCTGCTCAGTATTTTCACGTGCAGAGGTTTACAAAAACACGGTGGTAAACATAGGTATAGTAGTATTTTATCGGCGCCAATGAGACTTGAAACACACAAAACAACGCAACGCATCGGTTTGCAGTTTTCAAATAATCACTGGCTCACAATGATATTTAATAATGTCCTATCATCTTTGCTAGGGCCCGTCACATACGGGCTGGCGTCTTGGTACTGACTATACCGCCTCGCGCGAGCGGCGTCGGTCACGACCACAGGTGCCGCTTTCTGGAAATGCTTGGCTAAAGTTCAATCTAAGGATAGACCACCTGTCCGTCCAAAAAGTGTCCAAAAAATCAGCTTGTCCAAAGTTTCCAAATTTGTATGTGACATGGCTACTAACCAATAAAACCAGTAATTTTTGGGCGTCGGGGCATTCCCTCACTGGAACCGAACAAAAAAGAGGAAATGAACGCGGGCAATTTATGTGTATCTCGTTCAATAAGTTGAGAAGCATACCATTGCGACACGACTTAATGATATTGGCTGTCCCAAACTCAACAGATTTCTGCCTTTGTTGTCCAATTTCTAAATGAGACTTTAAAAACTTTTGGAATTCCAAAAAATTTGGAATCCAATTGGCACCTTAAGTCGCGATAACGAGCCCAGTGATCCCTGGTCACGTGACGTGGCCGCTGCCCCAGTCCTCGGTGCCCCGTAAGTTTCATCCCTCTACCACCGTTTGACGCACTTTGGTTACGGCACCACACCTGAAACACACATGGAACCGAGTAACGCACAGCAGACAATGCGCAACAATGTAAGTAGAACAACAACTCCTCCCCTCGACACGAACTAACTCAAAATGACACACACCCTCATGGAGATGAATCGCGAGTAAGGGGGCCGAACGGGTCGAGGCATCACATTGTACTGATGCCCGGAGAAAAGCCGGCTGGGGGTTTGGAGGTTTTGCTGGGATAGACAACCGGCGAGCGCACATCTCAAACCCCTCCGCAATGCCAGATCTCTAGACACAGCAAGACGTGGTTGACCTGTTTCCATGTGCCTGCCAGTGGCTCGGAGCCGGCCAGTTTGAGAGTGTTCTAACACAGCGGCATCAGATTCAGCGGGCGGTCCTCGCGCATTGTTGCTGGAATAATCTTCACAATCGACATCGACCCGAAAAAACAGCATCCTCGAAGGTACATCAAAACCACATCACGGTGGAACAAACCACATCACGACGGTATACCAAACCACATCACGGTGGAATAAACCACATCACGCCGGTATATCAAACCACATGACGACGGTGCATCAAACCACATCACGACGGTACATCAAACCACATCACGGTGCCTCCGGTATTCGCAGACGTCGGAAGCGCGACACGACATCGTCCTCGCCTGAAGACGCCGCTTACCAGGGACCCTCCGAGGACGATGTGACGACGTCTCCACGGCCGACAGCCCAGATGACGTCTCCACGGTCGACAGCCCAGATGACGTCTCCACGGTCGACAGCCCAGATGACGTCTCCACAGTCGACAGCCCAGATGACGTCTCCACGGTCGACAGCCCAGATGACGTCTCCACGGTCGACAGCCCAGATGACGTTTCCGCTGTCGACAACGGAGATGACGTCTCCACGGTCGACAGCCCAGATGACGTCTCCGCTGTCGACAACCGAGATTACATCTCCGGAGTCGACAGCCGAAACGGCGTCTTCATGGCCGAAAACCGAGGCTGCATCTTCGGGGTCAACAGCCGAGACGACGTCTCCGTGGCCGACAACCGAGACGACATCTCCGGAGACTTCGACAGAGGTGACAGGTGCGTGCGCTGGTGCGAATGACTGACATCCGCAGCGCCCCACCCAATGCAGGCGGATTCTTTACCGAGGAGGTATCCGGCAGTCTACCAGAAGCAAAGCCCTTGTATCCTTTCTACTATCCAAAGGTAAAACCCCATATGTTAATCCTTGGCCGTTTTGCGTTTTTTATATCGTCTGATTCGGCTAGTCATGTCGAATTGAGTGATTAAAACCATCGGTGCAAATTTTTGCAAGCATTTAGCCCTTTCTCTTATTTAAAAGCGTGTGCAAATTTCAACTATTTATTTTAATATCTAAATTCAGCAGAACACGAATCCGATGACATAAAAACGGAAAGTGGCCAGAAATAAACATATGGGGTTTTATATTTGAACGGCAGCGTTGTCGTGATAAGGCCTGGTCCATGCTTGGTCCAAAGAGGAGCAAAAACATGGTTAAACTTTGGATGAGTATAAAGATTTGCTGTGTGGAGCATCATACAGGGATCACCACAAACCTGGCGCTTCTACAACACACCAGGTAGCACGAGCAGGTACGCGACGCACAATTTAAGGCGTCACTGAAAAAAGTAGAGGCAAATGTTTCGCTCGCAGCAAAATGGCGAGATGTCTAGCGGCTGAACGGTTATGCTACCAAAAAAATTGTCATTCACACACGTAAATTTCAAACGAGGTTTGTACAAAACAACACGCAGATGCACCTATGAATGTTTTATGTTGTTCACGGTGGATGTCTAACACGGCAAAACTATGTCACTTGAAGAACGGTTGTGTTCATACCCAGGCGTTCATCTGTCGATCAGTGCCAGAGCTCTCACTCAGCAGTTATGTTCAGGCATAGCAAATCTCACTTTAATTCGTGCTTATCTTAAAAACTCTTCGAATTTGTATAGTCCTCACCGGAAACAAACTAGAAACAAACGCATGTTTATCAAAAAGCCAAGAACCCATATATTCAAGCAATTCACGGGACATGGCGACAAATTATCCGCTAACGAGAACGAGACGTTCCGCTGAAAATAGTCAATCACCGGGACGAGATGCCGACTGGCTGACGGAACTGCTACTGTTGACCAAACACTGCTCGTCACCGGCCTGACATCTGTTGCCACAGCTCTCCTCGAAAAAAGGCTTAGGGCATGGCCTGGATCAGCCCTTTATTATGGTCCTAGTCCGACATAGCAATCAAAAGTTGTTCAGTGCATTAGCGAAGAACAATATTCACATAGGTATGATTGTAGTATTAGCTTTATTACTCGGATAAAAAAAAGGAAAATGGAGATATCGTTGGGTTGATATTTCGGCAAGATGACAACAGCGGAAGAAAACGTTGAGTCTTTCTGCTATCGTTTCGATAAATGCATCTTGCCGAAATATCAGCCCAACTATATCTCCATTCACCTGGGTTTCTCAAACAAATGAGACTAATACTACCGGCTTATCGACAAAGCAATCATGCTTTACATTTATTAAGGACATTTTCTCTCATCGAAAATTGGCCCAGGGCACAGTCTGCATGAGCCCTTTATTACGCTTATGGTCCGACATAGCAATCATGCTTTGTGTTTGTCAAGGACATTATGTAATGAATTCGGGAATAGAAAAGAGGGAGAAAAACTAGCTGCGTTAATCGCAACCATTCAAATATATTTTGGCTATCCATAACATACCATAGCAATAATGTTACTAATTTTCGGCTCACTACAGACAAACACAACTGCTCTGTAGTGCGATGCCCGGTGATGTTCCACAAACCTACGGCGACGGCAAGCGTCAGCCAACCTTCCTTCAAACCGGTTAGATCCGGATATACGGTCCAACATGGCTCCCAAACGAACATAGCCGCGTGAACCTAGGCTTATGTGTTTGTTTCTTCTATGACCGCCGCTCCTTAATGTCGATTGCGCTCACAAACCTGTTCGGCAACTCATCAAATGCGTGCCATTGTGACTCACATCGGCAAGAAGCGAGCTGGCGCAAAATATTACAGTTCTTTCCACGTTTCTACCTGCCCCATTCATAATTTTGCTTTACAATGGTGGTTCAAACGCAATAGTCATATTTGCTGCGTCTCTTCAACTTGTGGGTATAGGATTGACTACACGCACGACATTCACGCAGGTCTCCAAAAAAACAAAAGAGGTAAGAGCAAGAGAGAGAGAGAGAGAGAGAGAGAGAGAGAGAGAGAGAGAGAGAGAGAGAGAGAGAGAGAGAGAGAGAGAGAGAGAGAGAGAGGAGAGAGAGAGAGAGGGAGAGAGAGAGAGAGAGAGAGAGAGAGAGAGAGAGAGAGAGAGAGGGAGAGAGAGAGAGAGAGAGAGAGAGAGAGAGAGAGAGAGAGAGAGAGAGAGAGAGAGAGAGAGAGCGAGAGAGAGAGAGGGAGAGAGCGCGTCTTAGGAGATAAGGGCGGTAGCGGAAATTAAATGTTTGCTTTCATATGCAGTTTACACAGCCATACCGTGAGGAGTGGTACAAAAACACGCTTCTAAGTGTTTTCCGAGTTTCATGGAGGATGCCCGGACGCCGGCATAGTTACTGTTTCCCGCTAAATGCCATGACAGGAAATAATTGTGCAGTTTTAGCCCGATACCGTTTTCGCGCAAGCTCGCGCAATATCTCTTTCGGGATTAAACGTCAATGCATTTGTTAAGCAACCAACGCAAAAATTTATCGGGACTCGAAGCATTGTTATGCCCGTAAATCTAGCCAACCACGTCTTTATGGACAGTCTACAATAAGCTACAAGCCAATCAAAACTGTTAAGTCCATTGCAGTACGTTATTGCTTGCACAGCTCTGTTCTAAATGCTCTAGGTAATCGAATGGGATACTCTGCAAAAAAGTGCATTGTGCACTGGAATGCATACAGCGACGTCCTAAAATTGATGGCTCGTCTTTCCGTGTTTTCATATGTGAACGGCACCTGCCTGTTTGGGGTCATTGGCAGATTGGTACAGTCAAATACGGACATGAGCAAAGATGCAATTAAACAGATGGTGATGGCCGAGGACAGCAAAAGATATTGATCATACAGATCACTGGGAAACAGAGATTGGTGAATATGGGTTAATCCTATGCGGAAAAGACATGCACGAAAAGGCAAATTATTAGTTACGGCTTCGTATACTGACAATGCTAGACCTTCAGTATCCAGGAGGTACCGGTTAAACGATGTTATCACCTAAACATTGATTATATATTTCCCACTTTCCAACTTTCAAGTCAATAAGTCCACTTTTAAGCTGCACTTATGGTCATGATTGAAGGTTAACAAAAAAGATAGCATTTAAGAACTAAGGCACGTGGACACAGGTGTCAACTTTATTCCTTTGGGAGGGGGGCACTGTCCCCTGTACAATTTCCCTCCCCCAACGGTGAGCCTGCCCTTCTCCCCGGACCTTTTGGAGAGTGAGTACATACAAAGCATTAAAACTGAAGCTCCCATGAGATCAATTTTACCAGAAGATTTCTCATAATTGTTTCACGGGTAAGAGGAACAGAAAAGTGAGGGCTGCGATGTGATGTTCAGCTGAGTGTAGCTGACTGAGTCAGTCACGCTTTTAGAGCTCCGCATCTGTACCGTGCTTACTTAATTAGTTTCTGTTTTCCCGCATGCTGCTTGTTTTTAGTTACACAGTTAATAAGCCCTGTTGGCTCGGATCTAGTTTCTAAAAGCAGATTGACTGATTGCACCAATTGGCGATATTTTTACAGGATGCTTTTTTGGAATATTGAAAACAAACCGGTCCCATATAGCAGCCAAAACAAATAGCAGCCAAAGATGTGACGAATTGATTATTCGTCTGCAGTTGGAAAAAACATTGAAATGTGATGACCTCTGCTTCGACGCAAATATTCCATGGAACAGATATGAACACCTGTCGATTGATGCCAGCCGACTGAGCAAACAAGGACGTAATCGATTGAAAATGACCGCCAGTTGTATAACGGAGTGCTGCGCTGCATGCTGCACCCAGCCTTCTGGCCACCAGCCGGGGTTTCCGCGTCAGCCTTCAGTGGTCGCCGACATCAGCTTAAAGGGGATGCTCCACATGTGGAGATATTGAAACAAACATCACACATGATGAAGCGAGCACACTTATAGCTAATGATATGCTTTTCAGAGGGAAAGACTGTCCTCGACACCACTTGTAAATATGCTCCTCGATGGTTTATTGTTTGATTACATCATCGTACCTTGCACAACATTGATTAAGAGCCAACTGAGGCTATTATATCTTGAAGTCATGCTCACGAAGGCCAGATATGAACGATTTGACCATCATATTTTTCTCGGCTTTGTCCGCCACATAGAATATAAAATGGCAGGATGTTAATAACGTTATTATAACGTCAACAACGCCCAAGTGACCTTGAAATACTCCACTCGAAATACTTTTCCCATTTTCGCGGACGTGTAGATCAGAAAATAGAGGGGTGAAGGTTTTAATCAGGGCAGGACTGTGAAATGCACCGAAAGGTTTTCAAGATTGCTGTTTCAGTTCAAAACCCCCATAGCAATGAAGAGCACTTCTTTTAAACTCTGTCTTACTGATGTCATAGACGCCCAACAACGTCTGAAGTCACATAACGTCTACCGTGCGTTGGGTACTGAAATCGGGTTTCGACGATTGATGCCAAACACATTGGTAAGAAAAGCCAGCCGCCAGTCTTGTGTTTGACTCAGGTTGAGTCATGAATCGGCTCGAAACAGCTGTTTTTGGGTGAGTCGTGAGTTGGGTCGTCTCACTTTGAAGCATGACCCTTTGAGCCATGAGCTGAATCGCATTTTTTGTATCATGAACTGAATCATCAGTCGATCATTCCTAATAATATTGTGTCAGTGAGTCATATGGTTGAAATAGAAGTGGAAACGTAAGGAAACAACCGCATGGCCTAGACTAATTAACATATCATCTCATAGAAGATGAGACAGTAGTAGTAGCCTCATTCCTCGTAGAAAAACCAGGGAAATATAGATGGAGATGTAGATGCGAAGGTTTTTCGGTAACATGATGCTATGAAAACGAAGAGTAGTAGTATATTCAAAATTGCTTGCCGATGATTCTACTCAAGTTTCAGGTTTTTTCAAACAATCAGCCCCAGCTTTTTACGGTTCACTAGCATTCAGGAGATGGAAAATGGAGCAATTGCCAGCCATTACTGCGACATAGTGTATATGTTATTTAAAATTAGAACACACGAAAAACACGTGTAAATGCAAACGAATTCAAGTAAACAGGCATCACGCATCACGCTTCATTCAAACACGCAAGCGATTTCAAATAAACAGGCACGACGCATCACGCATCAGTTATGCATGCAAACTACTTCATTCGGGAAAGTTGACTACCATTTTCCGAAAGGATAAGTGAAATAGTGCTGATGTTTTGTTTTACTTTAAAGTGCACCAGGGTGCGAGTATCTTTGACCCCAATGGCTTTCACAACATAATTTTCAAAAGTCGCGGTGAAACCGCGTCTAACGCTGCATAGAGATCTTTTAGTATAGCAAAATCGAATTTACCTCGCAAGATCGCTGACCTATGGAAGGCCAAGGTCAGGCCATGGCTGTCAACAAAAATAATTTTTAGGGAAGCGTTCAATCTGACGTGATGACGGGGTGTTTAGACGCAGCCATATATGCCCGCAAAACATTCCACCGGCCTAGGATCAGGTATGAAAGTCAGACCAAGGTCAAAACCAACCTGCTTTTTACTGAGGAGCTTACTTTAAGGGATGCCTTCCGGTGCTCATTTTCAATTTCTTGAAAACAGGGACCACAAAAGACGTCTTTTGTGGACTTCCTAAAGGGCAGAATAGGCCAATGACTTAAAATGACCCTTCTCATTCCTTTGTTTGTGGGAACGTACCACCTAGCTCAATCCTTGATTCTTAAGTAAAATTTAGAGATCAAAACAATCTCGTAGTTTTTTGGTGCCATGACCTTCTGAAGTTTAAACAGGGTTAGTGACCTAAAATGAACACCAGCGACACTTAAAGGAGGTACCTAGGTTTAAGGCGGTTGCATGAGATCTATAGGCACTTGGGACACCAGTATTGAATTTGAATTTATTCGGCCTCATTTAAAACGAGGATCATGATCTTTGAACCTCAAATGCTAGCACAGACTAACCCACCTCGTTAGTTCGGTATGTCTAGTTCTCTTAGTATTTGAGATCTCAAGAGGAGTCAAATCGACCCCCACCAGAACGAATAACAGAACAAAGACTGGTATTCCCAGCAAACGATCAAGCAATCGTAGCGGCCATAAGTCTAACTCAAAATAAGCCTTTCCATTGGAAGAAGTCGACATAGTTGGAGAAATCTCGTTTGACTCATTGTTCATGACTATGAAAGTAATGCATCTCATTTGCCTTCATTTTTTCAACGTGTGTGTTCGGTAATGTTTTGAACACAATGATGTCTCAAGATGCTTGTGAAGTAGGTACCACGAAAGCTACGCTCTGTTTAGAAAAAAGAGATACGCGAACATGGATTCATTATCCTGCGAATTCAACGAAACGTTACACTAAGCTTTAATTTTTCCTCTATGGCGTTAACCATAGTGGCCCTTTTCGAGGCGCACTTTGACTTTGGAAATGAGAGAATCACGTCATGCATGTGACGCACCGGCTCAAAATTTACCTGCACTTCTCTTAACACTTAACCGTAGCTGGCTTAAACACTGGCTTAACTTCAACTGCACTTCTCTTAACTTCTCTTCTCAGCGTAGCTGCACTTATCGGTAACAGGCCTTTGCCCGCTGGGCCGATCACTAACGCTTCTCTATTCCATCAGCCGACGACAGTCTATCCCATGTCGACGGTGGTCGCAACTGCACGAAAGAGGATTAGTGCTGTTACAAAGCGTTGGCAGCGTAATTTGGGCTAGAAAATAATTAAAATTGGTATCCTTGTGTTTTGACGGTGCTGCAGCGGCACTATCCGATGCTTTTATTAGACTAGCTAGTCCCAGGGATTTATAAGGTATGCTTTTTCAAAATATGCCCAAACGTGTGACACTTTGATAGGCAACTGAATAAAAGCTAGCCAGCATGCTTTTGACATGGCAAGTCCTGACAATGTCAGTTCTGACAGCTCATGGATTTGGGATGATTGAAGCTATTTGTTGCTGAGACCGATCTAGTGCAAAAGCGCAAATTTCAGCCCATATTTGTCCCAATATGTCATGCTATATGCCTATGCATTTTTGCGCCCCTTCTCTCAGTTTAAGGCCAAAGCATGCTGTACTCGATACCCGATTCCAAAAAGGCGGATTGACCACAACGCAGTCTGTTATTGGTGCCCCTTGGAATCGGACCCTACAAAGTCTGCTTGGTGCTTTACAGACTGTGTATGGCTTTCGTCGCACGGTTGGTTTCATGTCCTTTTATGCTTCGGCCGCCGACATCCAACATCAATACTTAAGGGGCTTTAGGGTGCGTCGACCGTTAACTATGCAGCACATCAGCCCTTAACTTGCGAAACGGGCAAATCGATCTTTTGCGCCCCAATGTGTCAGATGGCGCACATAAACCAACACTTTTGTCAATCTCATCATCCTTAGTATCTTGTCGCTGTTGTCTAGCTCGTCTTGTTGTCTGCTTTGGACATTTTGCTTCGATCCATGTCTTTCAGGTTCTTCGTAATTTAAAAATTAACGTATCGCAACATGATCTAGCGGCGACGTAATGGTGTGATAACATCGCTGGAATGCACGACACCACACCACACTGGAATGTATGCCTTGTTGTCAGTGACTGCAGAGATATACGTTAGTCAGAAGCGTGACTAGTGGTATTATCTTGTGTTTTGGCCTACAACGGGCCCGGCCCGCTCAGGCCGGACCTGAGCATGCCGGCCCGGCCACCGGAAGCAGTTTCCTGGTAGCTCATGCCAAGACCCGCTCGGCTTCCGTCTTCAGTCGTAATTACTGCACCTGATCGGCGAATTCCTGCCCTCAGCCGGCGTCGACCGTCCTGGATGGTATCCTGCTACTGAGCTGTTCGTGGTGCATATATGAGCCAAAAGATCAGTAGCGTGGTTTTTCAGGATTCAGCACAGAAGAAGCGGAAAACTCATTCTCCTCCACCTCATATATGACCTCCTCCGGCGCATACATGTACGGATCCCTCCCCGACAATCTCCAGACGCGTGAGTTGATGGCGATAGCCCGGTTTGAAAGGTTTGTCCATGGAAAAATTGCTTGACGGCCGTCATCATTTGTGTTAATGTGTGGAACGTGGTTTGTTCTTGGGCGTTAGAAGTAAACAGCAATTTTCACGTGGTTCTGTTGCGGTAAGTTGCTATTTTCTCGCGCAATGCTTGCGGTGACCGAGACTGTAACGATGTCGACGACAGGGTCGACATTCATGTTTTGATGAATCGTTCGTTAAACACCTGAAAATATTTCACCTTTCAAAGCTGAGCGTTGCACAAACTTTTGGTTGTTCACGTTCTTCACTGAACTTTCACCTGTTTTGTGTTAACCTTCTTGAACAGTATTGAGACAGCTGTTTTTTTTAGACACCTGTTTTTACGTAAGAGGGGGAGAGATAGAAGCAGAAAGGAATTCCAGAACAGTTATTACATGAAATGCAAAGCACGCGCGATCCGGTCCCACTCCGGGTCACTTAAAAGCTGCCACCCATCTTAGAAAGTCGTTTTCCTAGTTTTCGTGGTGAAATGTTGGAAACATGGCGCAACGCATCTTAGGTGGCATATTTTGAGACATTTATTATTCTTGCGTCATTGCTTTTCGTGACACATAAGCGAAATGTCGCCGACGTAAGCTTCGCTAATGCCCTCCATAATTCCCAATGCTATTGAGTTCAATATATTTAGGTCAACCATGATGGGGAAGACATGGCTCAACAAACGTATGCTTTGCTCATGCAAGTTGGGAACGCCGAATGCAAATATGAATTAAATCTTAGTGATTGACTGTTCCTTTCAGAGTTCTATAACGCCTCTCTGGATGACTTTGCCACCGTTCTGTTAGCTATGAAGACGATTGACGGCAGTGAGGTACCCGAGGTCTTCGCGCCGTCTCGGCAAGAGATCCTGCAAGCAGGAATGACAGCCAGGGAGTTCATCAAAGCATGTAGCTTTGACAGCGACTATTGCGACTTCACGTGCGTGTGCAAATATGATACGCTCTTGCAGTTTATGTCATCAAAAGTTGGAAAGGACCATCCATACGCTATAGGCAGCACAAGACAAAAGATCGCTCGATTGCCCTGATTATTATGTCATGTCTTGGTTGATGGTTCGATGCAGCGCTTGCAATGAAAAGCCGTCCCTCTTTAGCAGCTCTTTGTCAAAAAACTGCTGTAGGTGGCATTTTCAAGTCAGAGCAATTACGGCATTGTATGTTCAGAATTATGATATTGAGTAATTAACCCTTGATATGCCTGGAGGTATTGTTTTAAGTGAATGTTCTACATATGAAGATATTTAAGCAAGCATCAAATGTAATGAAGGATCCTCACTTATAAATATCGGTATACTTTTAAGAGGAAGAGACTACTTCAGACAACAAAATGTCTTTATTTAGTAAGTATGCTGCCCAAAACGTCATTGTTTGATTGCGTCATAAAACATTCGTATGATACTGAGTTGATGCCAAATTGGCTGTGCGAAATTTCCAACCTAGCACGCATTCGATCCGCCGTCAGGACCTTTATCAGCACCAATAGCGGCACAGTTTTCGCCTTGCGTTACGTCATGGGAACACAAAGCCACGCGCCGGCTGACAAGGATGCCAGGATTTTTTGTCAGCCCGTTAGCATGGAGAGAAAGAGCTACCAGTAGCCTTTCTCACAAAGAGTTGTTACAAATAGTTTGTGTTTGTAAGTTGTAATTTAGAATTTACAAACTACAACTTACAACTGTTTCATAAAACTAGCGCGGGTTGTAGAATTGTAGTTGTAAAACTCCGCGCCGTGTGTAATTTGTCGCCGCCAATCACCGGCCTTGCCAAGGACGTATAAGAAGTACGCCTGACCGGCTTTTTAGCAGCCCATACGCCCAACGTTGACGTGACGTCACTGGAGTCTTGATACAGCGAGGGCAGCGCACAGCCTCGCGCGATGCACATTGCGATCTGGATATTTGCGTTTCCGTTGGTCACAGCTGCATTCATGCCAATTTTGCTGGGAAAAGCCACCCTTTCTTCCTTCTGTCCTTAAAAATGCGTTGCACTATCAAACGAAAGTTCGGTGCAAATTCAGTGAACCTAACCTAAATTACATCGTTCATACGTAGCAGGATGTTGGTGACAATGCATGCAGTCAGGCCCAGGCAGTCGGGCTCGCCGTTCTCACGGTCCCCGTTCCTTCCAGCCGGTTTCTGTGTAACCCATGTGCACGTGCCCAGGGTCGCACCCAGCATCCTGGTGGAGCATGAGTGACACAGAGCTTTATGTAAGGCCCCTGGTGAAAGTTCCCAAGTTTTGAGCGGACCCCAGAGTTTCCTTTTCTTTCGTTTCTGTTTTTATCCACTTATTCCGACGGGCGTGTTCATGAGGGGGCCATGGAATGGACACTGACAACACATACTTGTTTGGTTCAGGCGGCGCCGTCAGTAAAACACTGGGAGCCACAGAATACCTATGGTGCGACATTCTGGTGACACGGGCGCCGGGCCTCATGATCGGTTCGGAGGCCCTCTGAGGGAACACTGATCTCCTTTATGGCGCCGGCCGTCCTCTGACGGGAGCAGTTAGTGCGACTCGGAGTAAAGGCTTTCAGTGACGCACAATAATTTCTTGCAGGTACAAGGGGTCTACTAAATGACACAGGGATCACTTTTAACAAAGTCAGGCCCCTGGGCAAAGCGGAGCAAGGCCGTTTGTTGGTTATTGGGCCCACTGTCTGATACATAGCCATTCCATTGTGTCAAGCAATGCTGGCCCTATTATTGCCCTATTTCCCATCTCCCTTTATTGTCGGGGGTCCCAACAATGCAAGAGGCCCGCTGACATTCCAGGTCCCGTCGCCGTCCTTTCCTTGAAAACGGGCTCGCTGCCGACTTGGATTCCCTTGCTGACACAGGATCCCTTGTCAGGCGCTGTAGCCCCATGATAAGACAAAGTGCCTCTTTTTCATCTGTGCTTAGCTAGCCTCCGCGCCCACTTAACATTAGTTCGTTTCAACAGCAGGTGTGCAATCGATATTTTCTTAAGAGGTTGGGAGCATACCTCGACGATAACGCATCACGCCAGTTTTATTTTTTTAAGAGCGCTGTGGTAAAGATGAAGACGTGGGCAGAATGGAGCGCCCCTTGACTGTGCTCCTCCAAAACAATCAAACAGCAGCGACAGCAGGGTTTGAAGACTAAAATCTTGTGGACGGCGATTTGTTCCCTTTGTGAGTTTGTGAGGGCCCTCGTTTGACACCTGGCTACCATATTTGGTTGCCCCTCCCCCTTCACAAGTGTTTTGACCCCAATGCTACAAAATCTCCGGAAAATATAAATATCACAGGGACCTTCTTCAGACATGACCTGCGGTTGATGACCGTTCTACTAAAATAAAGGACTATTCCGTGCCACTAACTTGAAAAACTACTGTACATTAAAATCAAGTGGCCTAAGAGTTGGTAAAAATTATTTCGGGCGACGTTAGGTTTACAGTTCCTCATAAGGGCGTAATGTCGCTAAATAATTTGCTTGGGAGTGCGGAAAATGGCTCACCCTGTCACAAAACATGCATTCCACCTGGGTCCTGGGCTTATCCCCAATCACTTAGAAAAGGTAACGTCTCCGCTTGCAGAATAGAAACACTAACCAAACCAGCACGACTTTGCTTGATACTTCTAATCAAAGTTTGAAGGACTATTAATTGCCTTGCCTCCAATGACTTTGAATGCTGCATCTACCTTACGTTTCCGCTACGCCACGGCAATGGAGACGGCAGCGGCGGGGGCCAATGACACAGGGCACCAGTGATGTCATTGCCCTGTGCTGAGCCAAACGGGATTCCACCAATAGGAAATTCAATGATGCCCCCCCCCCCCACCCTGTTTCACCCGCCAGCTGACACTGTCCATGTCGGACGAGCGCATAAAAAACAAATGATGCTATGGATCATCATAAATACCGCGGTTTGTAAACAGAAACAAAAGAAATGTATCGAAAGTGTCAAGGAACAGAACATTATGTTCCCCAATACCAGCACTCAAGTGCATTTGTCATTGTATTCACCGTGCGTCTTACAGTTTTAAGCAGAAGTAAACACATAATATTGACAAGGTCATGGCAACCAGCGAAGCAGTGACTCAGTGAACCAGGATAATACTAGTGTTCTGTTACCATGGTACACACCTATATTCTACTCGCATACATGGGATTCATGCATCGTTCACAACCGGCGATAGCTGTTCCTGTTTGGCGTTAAGGTGGGTGTCGTCGCATGCCCGCAGTTTGATAGGATTCCTGTTTTCGCTTGCATGAGGAGAAACTACACTTAAAATTAAGACATTTCATAATCTATTGGTACAGTCATTTCATCCTGGCAGTGACTTAGATGCCAGTAGACCTACTCACAGAAAATGATCACCTTGGTATCCTTCCCGCCCCCCCCCCCCCTCCCCAGCCCATCAACGCGCGAGCACAAGACGACGCAGGATTTCGATCGGATCGGTGCGGCTACCAAGGTCACTTATAGTGATGTATAATAGCGCAAAGGAATAAATTTGCTGCACGCTTGGTTGCACGGGCCATGCGCGGTGTTAGAGATGATTAAATCCGTCAACACCATCGCTGGGTTGCTTCATCTGAGCGCTGTGTTCTGTGAGCTTGTTTGCCGTTCCGCTCCCTCTGAGTACTTGTTTAGTTTGCCCCGGGGGATTCTTGCAAGCCTCCTTCCTCTGCGAGCTTTGCGTCCGCAATCCATTTTCGCTACTGGCATTGCCTTAAGCTTACGATCACCTATTCTACAATGGGGTGGGCCATCGTTGATTTGTAGTTGTAATTTGTACTTTCAATCTTACAAATGCACCGCGGCTGGAAAATCAGCTGGCCTTTATGAAACATGCCAAGGTATGGTTGTAGACATTCTCGAGAGATTTGTCAATTTTTGTGTGTGGTTTTGTATAATTGTAATTTGTAGTTGTTATTTGTAAGTTTCTGCTCCATGAAACACATTTTTACAACTACACATACAAATTCACAAACTACAATACAAATGTACAAAAAAACTGCCTTTGTGAGAAAGGCTACAGGTTTTTAAAACATCACTGTGATAAAGAAGCGAGAGTTTGGTTTGGTAGGTCTTGCGATAATGGGTACTTTAGGTGGGGCGGGGGCACTTTCCTCTAATTTTGGAGGAATGCATCGTAGGATAGATAAGAAGAGAATGGAACTGCCAAGAGAAGCCATGAAAAGGTAAGCGGCAGTGCTAGGTGTCGTGTGTTCCCCAGTTACTTAATGACGTTGGAGAAATCGAAAATAATGGAGAAAAGGAACAAAACACCACTAGTCTCGAACATGGGCTTTGACAGTACAAGTGGAAGTTAAATAAAAGGATGGGCATCATGCCAGCAGAGAAGGTTCAATAGACCTTTTCCACACAAAAATGAGCGAACACTTGAAATGAGAAGGGAAGAAATTCAAATGAGATCGAAATGGGAACAATTACTCAGCTTACGGATCCACACGTCCGAACACCACTTTATAGGTAGTGGGTCATGGTCATCGATAAGCCTGAGTTAGTCTGTGGTCTGAAGTGGTTAAAATGTAAAGGACAAGGGGAACGTAAAGTAAAAAAGCCGTCAGCTCACACATCGAACGCTCTGCCAGCGCACATGACGTCACGCATCCTAGCTGACAACCGTGCTGACTACAGATCGAACGGAGCCCTAGCACTCATGTAGTTCTTCAGCTTGCCGGGAGATGGCGGTGGCCGCGCCTGAAGTGTTCGCAGAGCCCAAAATCGCTATGTGGTCGTGTTTTGACAATTTGTATTGGGGTTCTTACATATCTATCCGTGATTTCAGGAAGTTAACTTGTATTTGCGTGTTCCGTTATCGCGCCATTTTTAGAGCATTCGATTGTAAGGCGCATTTCCGTTATAATTAGCAACGACATCCAACTTCTTATATTATGTAGCACAAAATGTGATTTGACCTGGCCGAACCTTGTCATCCTCTTTCTTACTTTAACCTGAATCCTCCTGACTTCTCGGTCATCCTGGGCACGCTGCATGCGTCAGCCACGAGTGGGCCGAGAGGCCTCCTGGGAAGGGGAACCCGACCGGGCACTCATCGCACACTTCGAGAGATCCCTGCGCGGGCGTGACTTCCAGGCGCATGCAATCTTGCCCCACCGTTATCCATCCTCCTTCATCTCAGAGCCCCGAAATGATCACTCCTGGTCGAGAGGGTTCTAATCTAAGCAACCAAATTGTTTATCCTCTTTCTAGCTTCTTCCTGCATTCTCGCGACGCCTCGGTTGTCCGGGGCAGGATGCGGGCGCCAGCCAAGAGTGGGCCGATGGGCCCCCTGGAGCGGAGCCCCGACCGGGCGCCCAGTACACACTCCGAAGAGTTCCTGCGCGGGCTAAGGTTCGGCCGTTGGCCCTCCAGGCCAGGCAACCAAGCAATCGTGATTGTCAGGAAATTATTGTCGGACCGTTTGGTGGCTATACCCGACTGGCGAGACATGCACTGGTTTGTTCCTGTTACAGTCTTAAGCCAACAAGCCGTTATTTTCTTATGGTCGTTTTCGTCATTTTCCCGTACCCGTCTGTTCTGAACATCTACCTATCACTTAGCTTTTGTTGTTCTCTCCCTGCTCCTCCGCTGTGGGGAAGCCTGGTAGGCTTGGGGGCGATACTGAATTAGGTACGAATTCGGCCTCCGACATTTAATCTCTCTTGGACATAGACGACGGAAGTGCTACCAGCCCCGCTTTGGCTACCACTTCGCTTAATAGCCCTCGCGCGCCCCAGGCCCATTCCATTGGTTCACACGCTTTCGCGACGGTGTCTGGACGACACACGTGTCCGTCCAGCAAACACACAAACCCAGCAAACTTGCCCCCTCGAGCCGTCTCTGACCCGGCGTTCGGACACACGGCCCCCGTGCCCTCCCGTGCAAAGGCCTGCTGGCGTTAAAGCCCTCCGGGTACGAACGCTCGGTAGCCGGGTCCCTCTGGCGGCCACACGAAAGACCCCTCCCCTACCTCCAGTACAACACCTGTCGCAACACGTCCGAACGAAGACCGTCGGTGCCGTCCGCCAGTGAGGGTGGCGATGGGGTGGTCTCGGTCTGCCCCGTCTGGCTCATTCCCACCAACCGGTGGCGATGGGTCCGTCCACTTCTGAATTAAAATGTCTTTTGTCCTACAGTGAAATCGTTGCGGTCTTATTTCCAAGTGGTCTGAAGTGAAGGCCCTTTTGCAGCATTAGCTCCCATCATTATCACCGTACAGAAAACTTGGTTTTATATGACGGACCCATAAAACTTTGAAATGTAAAATCATTTCTTACATCGTAGTGACGACACAGGCGATGGGCGTCGCTAAGGAGGGGTGGCGCTATGCATCAAAAATGAAATAACACACATGCACCTCTCGCATCAAATAATAAAATCCAAGAACCTATGCATCAAAAATGAAATAACGCACATGCACCTTTCACTCACCATATCTCTGCAGGCTGTTGCATGTTCTGTTCCACTTCATTGCCGCAACATCTATGTATGTTGTCTGTGTGCATTACCCAAACTTACGATAACGTGGAGCTCTCACGGCGACTTAGCGAACTAGTTACTTTCGCAACCCTTTTCTCACTCGCGGCCATCTCAACGGTCACAGCCCAGCTTGGAGAACCGGCAACCAGGCTGTCTATCGTCGAAGACATTTGGCTGAAGTCTGTTCTGAGAACTTGGTCTCGCTAAACAAAGGAAATAACACTTACCATCACTTACCTACCGGTATGGAAACGGGCATCTTCCTGTCGCTGTGCTCTCCCTCAATAGGCACTTTTTAATTGGGCTGCTGAGGGAGATATGCACGACAGCGACCATTTTCCAATTAAACATTACACCACTTTTTATCCAGCCGCTGACGCATTTTCGCGATTCGTACCCCGCTGGACTTTACAAGTCGACTGGGCCAAGTATTAGGAACTTTGTCGTGTCCGTCCTGGTAGCTCAGTTGGATAGAGCGCCTGCCTTCCGATTCACTCACCCGCGGGTGGTGGGTTTGAGTAGCTTTAGGCGCTCGCTTTTTGCCCTTGACTTGTATGTCCTGCGGGCGGTGGCAGCGGTCGTGCTAAAGGTCAGTTGACGTCAGAGGGCAGGACGGACCGTGCCGAACGTTGCGGCACGTTAAACTCTCGCCACTAAGTTTCGCCGTTGCCTGGAATTGCGCGATCGGATAGTGGGGATCAGGGCTCACACAACAAGCGTTTCTTAGCGTGAGCTCTGATGCCAGAAATCGATCTTTTCAAAGGATTCGGATCAAATCTGTAAAAAAGTGTCAGCCAGTATCGTTACTAATCACCAAATCACCAGAGCGGGGTGTTAGTCTTACTACACATATGATTCATGCTGCGGCGACCGCGACAATGCCACTGGCTAAGCCCCTACCACAGCGCGTCCCAATAGCGTCATTACGGAAGTTCTTCACTTACGCAATCTCACTTCTCATTTCAAATGATACTTTCCCGGCGAAAAATGACCCAAACAGGCCGAAACGTCTCAAGCAAATAAAATGGAAATCATGATTGATCATCCGACACTCTTATGCCCTCTCGCTGTATTCTGGGTCCTTGTGACAGCCCGCTTACCCGGGGCGGGCTGTGCGTGTCAGCCATGAGTGGGCCGAGAGGCCCTCTGGAGGACACCGACCGAGCGTCCAGCGCGCACCCTGAAGCGTCCCTGCCTGGGCTTCAGCTCGGCGGCTGGCGCATGTAGTGTTGCCCCCATCGTTATCCATTCTCCTGCATCCCATGGTCCCCAAATAACCATTTTTGGTGGAAAGGGCTCTAATTCAACCAACCAAACAACTAATCGTGATTGAAACATGCCTAGCTCGCTCAACTTTGATGGAAAGCCAGTTGACGTTCACTATACTTGCTGATCGCGCTCACGGATGCCGGATCTGAGCAGCTGGGAGATCATATTATTTGTTTACTGGAACCGCGTATGGCCAATGGGAAGGCAGGATTTGAATGGTGTTGCTATGGCGGTATGCCTGTCTGAATGACCTTGGACTAGTCTGCACGAAATAGTCTGCACATCTTCGCGGGCGTGTGGCTCAGAAGCTGGAGAGTGTTGGGTCTTAATAAGGGCATGGCTATGAAGTGCACCGAGAGATCTTAAAAATGTCTGTTTCAGCTCGAAATCCCTTTCAAATGTGAAACACTTCCTTCCATCAAAGTTATGGTAGAGCGAGCATTGGTTATATTAACAGCATTCGATGTTTCAAGCTGCGCTCATGACCACGAGCGAATTAGTATCGGATCAACAGACAATTGTGGACAAAACAAAGTAAGCACAACACTGGCAAATTTTCATAAAATCCAAGAACCTCAGCCATTTGCAATGCCTCATGACCAAACGTTGCATCATTTACTAACGAACAAACCAATCTCTCTTTCAGGGACTTCCACCAGTGGCAGAATGGCGTGTATGGCAATTGTTTCACTTTCAACTCGGTATTCTCTAGAATGAACGAAACGCATCATGGCTTAGGGAAAGAGCATCTTCAGCACATCAAGACTACAACGCATTACGGAGCCAGGGTTTGTAAAACTGTTTCAAAGTTTGAATGCGTTGAATTGCCGTTTATTCAAAGCTTTTAAAACACAGTGATACGATGGACATGAAAGCTGCCAGTGAGGTTTTTGGACATCTATTTAGTCTGGTGGCAAGATGTCAGTTGTCAGCTAATTTTCAATAGCGTTGTGACATCCAGTGTATGCGCCCGAGCCAATGCTGCCAACTCATAATCAGGACCATTGTCAGTAGTTCCCCATCACCAGCTTGCCTTGTACCGACGTGGGTCGAGCGTGCCACTCAATTAGAATTAAGGTCCGAAACCAAAATGTTCTTCAGGTGAGTTACTCGCTTACTCGTCTCACCTCACCCACTCGGGCGAGGTGAGACGATGACGACAACGACAACGACAACGTCACAGCAATGTCTCATCGCGCCCGACAGTACGGACTCAGGCTGATGCTGAACGTCTCTCTCGATGAGTACATGATGGCAGTGACGCCCAGTATCGGTGTTCGGGTTACTATCCATCACCCTCAGCAAGTGCCCTTCCCGGAAGACAACGGCTTTAACGTGGCAGTGCGGTCTAGGACTTCAGTCAGCGTTCGTCGGGTAAGATGTAACTTCCACTCATTTGCCTTCCTTCAAATGACCTCTATTCCTGCTCAGAGACTATTAATCAGGTAACAAAAGCGTTTTGTTTTTGGCCTTCTGATATATGTGTGTGCATATGCTTCTATAATGGTGCTTATATATATATATATATATATATATATATATATATATATATGTATATATATATATATGTATATATATATATATAGATATAGATATAGATATAGATATAGATATATATAAACATATCTATATATTATGAAGATATGAATATACTATATGTGATCATATACATACATATATATGTATATATATATATATATATATATATATATATATATATATATATATATATATATATATATTTGGCTTGTGCTACTCTCGTTCATAGCAACACTGGTTGTCAGCACACGTAGTGAAGTTAGATACGAGCATTATCATGCTCTCGGATGGCCACTTGACTGCTATGCGCTTGGGGAAGAGGGAGCGGGTCACCTACCCCCTGAGGTACTAAAAAGCAAGAGAGCCCAAAGCGCTAAGTCTACAAGGTATGTGCAGCTCTATGCTGGCCCATTTGTGTCAAATTTTAAGGGTTTCAGGTCGTGAACTTGGTGTCAAAGTCAAACGAGTCAAAGTCAAATAAGGTCAAACGAGAATAAACGTTTGGTCGTTTCCGAAGTTCGCTCAGACCCCATCTGCAACCAACTTTAACCGAGAAACTGTTTCTACGCAACAGGTCAGTTAGTGACAGATCAGGTCAGTTACCTAATCTGATCTTAAGCAGACGCCATCTCAAAGCTGTAAGACTGTCTAACGCTGCGCTGTTGCATCAGCTTGAATGGTATTCTAAGAAGTGCCTTCGCTAACAACCGTAGGCTGACTTTGACTTGCTACAAGCCATCGAGACAAAAAGTGCATCTGATTGCCTTATACCAAAAAATGATTAGTGATTGGTCTACAGCCATTAAATGCTTGACGTCATTACGCAGCGCCTTACATATAGAATTCTGGGCAAACTTTAACGGAGTAACTTGATCCCACCTCCCTTGAGCGTGTCGTTAAGGCTCCGTGTGGGTTCACTCCGTGTGACTTTAATTCAGCTACTTACAGCCCAGTTTCCACAGCGCTACACTTGTGGGACATGTGTACGGCATATACGCGTGCCTTTGCTACACTAGACCTGGTTCCTCTATTTAAACTACTTTTCTGTCGCGTAGGGTGAAGTGCATCGAGTACCGAAGCCCCACGGGAACTGTCATACCGACGACGAATGGAACAAAAAGTGGGCGGGTGCATACAGATCCGAGGTGAGGCATCCAGTCGTCCAATATATCACTCCCCGTCAGTTCGAAATCGCCCAGCATCTCGAGTAAACCTCTTGGGTAGGGAGGGTTGGGGGGTGATGACCCTCGTGCCCCTGCCCCCCCCCCCCCCCCCGGCTACGTCCTGTCACGATGTCACAAATGGTCAACGGTAAAATTTGCTAGGCTCACGATCCTGTGGAATGTCCAGGCATGTCTCGCACCGTATCATGTTAATAGTTGCCGATCGATGATGATGACCCTCGCGATGTTTTAATTAAACGTTCAGGTCTTCCTAACGAAACAAATTAGCCTCTAGGTCGAAACCAGATCTTCGAGTTTTTTCTTGTTAATCTATCATATGTTAATATATCATATAATTGTGATTGCGCCACTGTGTCAAAGTGACGTGAGATATGACGGTGGTATATTTTTTTTATTTTGTTGTGCGCTTCAGCTATCCATGCATGTCATTTTGAAAATAAATCCCCTAAACTAAACGTAGGGTGTCAGAAAGCTGTTTTTCACTGTCCATCGTACGTGCTTACTTGTCCTTCATCAAATGTGATTTTACAGGGGTGCTTGATCGTGTGCCTGGAGCAGAGGATTCGAGAGAGGTGCTCCTGTGTCAGGACGCTCAACACCATCCTGATGCCTGTCGAAAGGCACGGAAGATGTAATCCGACAAACCAGACTCAAGGTGATCTCTCGGTTGTTTAACGGGAATGCTTCATATTTGAAGATATTGATGCAAGCATCAGATGTTACAAAATAAGCTCACTTATATCTTTGGTATATTTTAAGTGGAAAAGACTGCTCTAGAAAGCACAAGTCTCTGTTTGGTACATATTCCCCTCAATGCGTTGTGATTTGATTACGTCATGGTATCTTGCACAACATTGATCGAGAGCCAACTGACGGCTGTTATATCTGGAAATCGCGCTCCCGAACGCCAAATATAAACGCATCGACGATGATATTTTTCTTGGTCTTGCTTGCCGCCTGGTGTATGGAATGACAGGGTTTGAATGACGTTGCTATGACGTCATGAATGCAAAGATGACTTTGAAATACTCTCTCCGATGAGCCTTCCCCATTTTCGCGGGCCTGAAGGTGAGAAACAAGAGGGGCGTAGGTCTTAGGAGGGACAGAACTGTGAACAGCACGGAAAGGCCTTCAATGTGGCTATTTAAGCTCAAGACCTTACATAAATGTGGAACATTTCCTCGCAGGGAAGATTTTATCTCAACTGGGTGAGGAAGCTCTTCCTTCGATTCACTTGTAAAGATAGGACCAGTTGTTACGTGCTTTTTCTCTACTGGTGGCCAACAAAGTAAGCGAATGTTATGAAAAAACAGCACTGCCCACAGTGGATAATATTATTGTGTATGCTGCCTTCACAATGCCATGTGTACGAAAGATGGGCAAACCTATGCCTTTTTCATATTATCTACATATGTTAAGAACGTTCCAGTATTCATTTCCACCGCTGAGCATGCGTGTTAGCGTTTTCTTTTGGTTCAGATGAGTGCGTGGCGAAGATTCGGCTGGACTTTCTGCATGACTTGGAGCCCTGTGACTGCCGTCCACCATGCATGTAAGTAGGGGAGTATGCCGCGCCCATAACTGACAAGCAGCTCTACGCCGTCATTTTGGCATCATTGATCGCGTCATTGGACATGGCAGCCGTGTAATTACCGTTTTCGGATATGCACCATGACTCGTCATTGCCGTTGCAAATGAAAGTGATGTTTGTTCTGGTGCGATTTTAGCCTACCGCGGTCCTATCAAGTATTAGTCATCAGCTTGAACACAAGTCAAGACAGTGAAAATGTCATTGGTCGTGCATTGTTCGTGAGTGATCGTGTATCTGTAACCATCGGTTGCTCGATAACGCCGTTCACTCAGCGCCTACCTGTGTTTGAAAGGTCGATTATTGTCGGCACTAAAACTCCCGCTTCGTTTTTGGACAGCGTGTTCACTGCGCTGATAAACCAATTTACGTAACGAGCCGGCATGAAATGATGTGTAGCCCGCACGCTCTATACTTCAGAATATGGTGAAACAATTTGATCGCCGGATGTATCACCCAGCCAGCTACAATTTCAAAAGGTTTAATCGGATGAAATTGTGTATTTTCTAGGGAGAAAACGTATACGACCGGCTTGTCTTTTGACGAAGACAATGATGAGTTTTCACGCATACTGGAGGACGTGAAGGGAATTCAGTACGTATATGCAGTAACGTCCGTCTGTTGTTCATCGCTATTGCCCGTCTATTGTTCTGTGTGAGTGAGCCCTCATGTAGAGTGTTTTCACGAAGATGATGAAGGCTAACGTGTATGTATATGCATGCTGTCTCACGTTTAGGTGTACATATACGGGCGTATGTGTGTGCGTATGGATGGTGTGAGGGTGTGAATGTGTGCGTATGGCTTGGATTGGCTGTGATTGCTTAGGTATGGGTGTAGGAGTGGGTGTGCAGATGCGTTTGTGTGGCTATGTAGGTGGGAAGATGAGTGTTTGTGTTGGCTATGTAGCCGTGTGTGGATGGGTGTTGGTGTTGGTTACGTGGGTGTCTGTGGGTGGCTGTTTGCGTTCTTTATGTAGGTGGATGTAAATGGGTGCTTTTGTTGGTTGTGTGGCCGTGTGTGGATGAGTGTCTGTGTTGGCTATGTAAATGGCTGTGGATGGGTGTTTGTGTTGATTATGTATGCGTGTGGATGTGTATTTGTGTTGATTATGTAGGTGGATGTGGATGAATCTTTAGGAATTGTATGGGTCGTGTGACTGTACGTGTGCACGGCTAAGTAGTAGCCACGCGTACCTAAACCATCGCCAGGATAGGACTGAGCGCATCCCCATCTTGCTTTTCAAAAGCATCTCGTATACTTTCGGCGGAACATAATGCAATTTGGGCTATTTGGGTTCGGAACTCTTTTACACCTGACCTAAAAGTGGTAGGTGCGCGTAAAGTAGGGTATTGAGTTGCGATCTCGCTCTTCTATATGCTTTTCCTCTTCAACACTTCTTCCAAACATTCTGATTGGATTAATTCTGGGATCAGCGCCCACGCTGATCAGCGTTGGCGGCGTGAGGCCTGGGTCCCTCACCCAATCGTGAGACTCCGGATCAACGGCAGGATTTTGTGCTGAAAGCTAAACGTGCCGTAATGCTCCGCACGGACTTCCCTGCCCTCTGATGGCATATGAAGTTTAGCACGCAAGCTACGCCACCGACCGTAGGGCAGCCCTGTCAGTGGCAAAAAGCGCGCGCTGAAAGCGACTCGAACATGTTCTGCCACGGCTGAGTGATATGGAAGGCAGGCACTCTAACTACGTGAGCCACCGAGGCGACGAGCATTGAGCCTTGTCATGTTCTATGTTGCTCTTCATGGCCTAAGGCAGATGCGTATGACGATATGTGATGTAGACACAGATTGGACGAACATCCGTGCGGGGAAGTGACCAGACACTGCTAGCGGCTCACCCTGTCCGTGGACGCCGAGTTGAGGCGCTTCACAGGTCGACAAACCACGGGCTGCTGCCCCGCGGGCCACGACAGGCCGCATTCTGGGCACGGGCTGCTGCCCCGCAGACCGCTTCAGACCACATACTGCCCACGGGCTGCTGCCCCACAGGTCGCTACAGACCGCATACTGCCCACGGGCTGCTGCTGCTACCGGGGCGCCACAGACTGCATATTAGCCAGATGGGCGAGGTTATGCTGATTTTCATACGGGATCTGCGGGACTAGTGAGCCGTCCGCAGATGGGGCCAGTGAGCCGTCCGCGGATGGGGCAGTGAGCCGTCCGCAGATGGGGCCAGTGTAACGTACGCAGATGGGATCAGTGAGACGTCCGCAGATGGGGCTAGTGAGCCGTCCGCAGATGGGGCCGGTGAGACGTCCACAGATGGGGCAAGTGAAACGTCCGCAGATGAGGCCGGTGAGATGTCTTGCACGGCGTGGAACGAGTGATGCGATAACAAGTGTGAGAGATAGTAGCGGTATGTTGATGGAGCAAAAGTCCAGGCTTATAAAGTCAGCCACTTTCAGCAAACGATACCATTTGTGTTTGGGTATTTGCGACACGCTCAGCTGCTAAGGCCATGTATGGCGTCGCTTGCCTCCCATCCTGTCAGGCAGCCACCGCGGAAATTGAGCCTGTCCATCTGGTTCTCCGGATGCGCGGCTTTTTTAACCACTTCATGATGCTGTCAGCCGATCCAAACAGCTTCGAGCAATTCGATGGGACGCCTGCCTTTGCCTGAAACTTGGCATGCGGGGTGCACTGCCGTAACATTGATGCGCCAGTTCAAAAATAAAATACCTAACAAATAGCTGTCTATGAATCTGGTAAGACGCAGCCATTTTAAGCAACTGTCAGTTGCAACTGAAGTTGCAGCGATTGAACTCCTGGTATTTTTGGCCGGAGGGTTGCGACAAATGCCAGTGCGGTGGGTGGATCTGCATCAAACAGAAGCAGACCTGCACGCTCGTGACGCTTTCCTTCTTGTTCGATCCGTCTCGCTCTGAGCCACAGCGTCGTCTGTAAACGGCTTAGAGAAGGGTGACACCGCCGTTTCTCGGGGTCGATTGCTGGCACACCCATTGGTCGCATGGCGATTATATTTGGTAAGGAGTTGTAGCCTGCGCATTTGTCTGCACCGTACGATGTGTTAAACGCCGTCATCTATTCTTATTATTGATGTGCGAAACCAATGTTTCAAAATGACCAAAACGGCCGGATATATGCATTAAGTAAAGAAAAGGTTTTACTAAACTTGTGTACGGACCATCCAAAAAAGCTGGTTCATGTACGAAAGTGGGTGGTCGTCAGCACACAAGTCAAGCTTTTGCCTGCACGGGTTGACTGCACAAGTTTTGCTTTTCCCCTGACTTTCGAGCTCAACCCCTGCTTTTCCCTGGAAAAATTGTTCCTTGACAACGTCACGACTTGGGGATGCAACCTCCGGTTCATAGAAAACGTAGCGGACAGGGAAGAATGCATTGCATTCAAAACGCCTCAAAGGGGCCTATTATGCGTGGGTTGCGAGAGGCTTCCATATATTAGCGATGCGTAAATTTGTGCGAATCCCGTTATAAATGTATATATATATATATATATATAGATATACATATACATATACATATACATATACATATAGATATAGATATAGATATAGATATAGATATAGATATAGATATATATATATATATATATATATATATATATATATATATATATATATACCTTTGGTAATCAGCACCGCTTTGGTAGGCCCTTGATAATCATTAAAGCCATGAAGAATCGTCCATCGAAGTTATAACAGAGAACTTCCGTAACATGTCCCGAAGGGGACAATGTCTTTGTGCCGGGCCTAGATCGCAGCAAGCATTGATTGCATTGTCTTGCTTCAGTATCAATAAGTAAATTTTTCATGGTTTGTGCTAGGATACGGGCATCTTATTCGCATGCAATTCTTTTACCGGATGGGCAGTTTCTATGGTATTGCCATAACACTGAAATTCCCTCACCCATTTAATTTGAAGGAGTGATATAACATTAAAGAATTTCGAAAAAGCTGAAGCACACGGGTAGTAACCCGTTTCTGATGTTGTTCAGCTGGGGTCCAAACAAGAAACCAGTGCTGTTCGTATGGCCAGCGCATGAAAGACGGCATTCCCGTGCAGCAACCCCACGCATATGTATGCAGTGTCCTAGAATTGCCGACTTTGGGTGCAAAGCAACACCCTATGAGGAGGAATTTTTCACTCCTTTTCCCCACATTTTATGTGAATTTTTCGCTCCTGCCTGACATTGTCTAATCGCACATGCCAAACCCCTATTTCCCTTTCTGAGGTTTCCAGATGTCATCCAAAACCGAGCTCACATGAAACCACCGAGCATAAACGGGGCTCCACAGAACCTGGACACCCATGGCTATGTCCTGCCTCACCTACACCTGAATCATGTCTATGTATGCACAGAGCAAGGGCGCCAGGTACCTCCAAGCCCAAGAACCCCAGCGACCCCAGCCGCTTGCACGCATTAAGTTTGGTTTGTTTACAAAAATGCATCACAATCTGCAGCTGTGCGCCAAATGCAAGGTTTTTACGCATCCCCCATTTTTTGGTCTCACCACCACACCACGAATGCAGAGCCTGGTGCAAGCGCCAGCAAGGCCTGGTAGAGAATTTTTCTCCACGCACTTATTTTTTCCTGAGGAAACTTGACCACTAAATTGCATCACTCCCGAAATGCATGAGTGGAAAGTTCGAGAAATGTCTTCTAAATTAGATTTACAAGACGAATACCACCATTTGAGCACTTTTGTTAACAGATTCTAAGTCAAATCAGCTGATTACAAAATATTGCGAAAAAAATACCAGTCTTTATATTTATTTAGCTTCTTTTTTTTGGTATCATACCAGTGTGATACCAATTTATTCTTCCTTCCTTTTTGATCGTCTTTAGAGGCACCATCTGCTGCTTAAAATTTTGACCAATTTATCTGCAATATGCTCCAACTGGAAACTTGTGCGTGTTTCATACATAAATTTGATTAATTTGCCAGCCGCCCAAACATGTTTGATATGCACCCAAGCGTGAATAATTCACAGGGAATGAAGGAGACAACTTGAAGCACAGAACTTATTTTTACCGCCATTTTTGCCCTCTAAAACCTTCGGCTCACCGTTTTCTTGGTTCATGGCGGTGCTCAATAATAATAAATCCAAGCCCTTCGAGTGCTTGAATCGCCAGGCTACCTGGCAAGGCTATTCTTATGCTGCCATATAGAGCCTTGGGACAAACCTGACGCAGCTAATACAGAAGTGTTTGATGACCAAGTTCCGCCCTCTGGAGATGTTTATCATGCACACCTCCTACTTGTTTGCATTTTAATCTCGAAGGTTGATAGGCATGACTGAGATTTATATTTGGGGGGTGAGTCGGATGACTCTGTCTGCCAGCAGACCATGCAAAAGGTACTGAATTTTTGTTTTGGGGGAGCAGGAAGAAGCCAGTAAGTCTCCTGTGGACCAAGAAATTGCTTACCTTACCTGCTTTCAACACATGATTGGTAACCAGAGTTAGCCATTTTCTGTTTTAATGCATTGAGTTTTGCCATAAGACAAATTATGTTATCACAAGGCATGCAAGGAGCTTATTTTGTTCCATATTCTTGGTTATTTGCCCCAAATGTCTTAAAGTGGTCCCTCATGGTTACTCTATCCAGATGTTTCCTATAGTTGTCATGGTTTGCTGACTGGCAAATGACTGTACTGTATATATGCCCTATATTTTCAACACAGTGATACTCTAAGTTGTATAGCAATTATAATATGAGTTAAATAATGGTACGTCACAAATAGTCAGACCACACCATTTTAAACGTAAAGCCAACATCTCAAACTTTGTCATTAAATATGAGTAAACAAGCCCAAATGGATGCGTTTGCTGCAGCTGGAAAGGCAAGCAGCAATACTGGCATGGTCATCTAAAAGTTTTGCTATTTTTGGAGAAGAGAGATTGTTTTGTGGAGTACACCCATTATTGCCCTTGACATTGGTTAACCATGACAATCAAAATAGGTTGTTCAAAGTGATTTAAAGTGTTTTGATTTGTGTGTTGTCAACTTTGTCTGATGTCAACAAGCATACACAAATGAACTGAATAAAAATGCCAGTTGAAACCAGCCAAAAACTAGCTTTAAATATCTTTTTTTAAATATCTTGTTTAACTATGTTTTTATTACAAGTGCTGCTGTCAACAGAGCGGTGAGTTGAGATGATGTTCATCATATCGGCTACTCTAAGTTAGGTTAAGTTGGTCAAGTGCATGGCAAGTAGCCAAAGGAATTGTGCAAGAATCAACAGCTCACAACTGCTGCTGTGATACAAACAGGTTATACAGGATGAGATGATGTAAGGCCTTTTTAGGTTAGGCATAGGCTACTTTCATGACAATAAGCATTGGTGTTTTGTAAGAAACAGTGACAAAATGTTTGTTTTCCCTGACCCCATCTTAACAGAAATCAGAAGTATGTCTATTGTGTTTGACTTGGTGATGGGCTGATGTGTAGGAGTCCAAAGTTTTTTTGTTTGAGTGTTTTATGCTTGTTGAATTTTTTGTTGTTATTTTGTTATTGGATTCCTTTGCTTCGTTTTGTTTTAAAAGTGCTGTAGAAGGGAATTGAAAAGTGCAGCATCAGATTATTGGTGTTAATACTTTGTTATGCTCATAATACTGTCATGAAATTACAATGCTTGAACACGTGCCCAGTTGGCCGGCTAGATACCCTTCGCTCGGGGGGGGGTCAATTTGACGCCCCCCTCTGAGATCTCGGGAACTAAGAAAGCTAGATGCACCAAATATACAGGGTGTTTTGACCTATACGTGAACTCACTTAGGTTAAGGTTTCAGCACTCTAGGTCATGACCTTCAGGTCGAAAAAGGTCAAACAAGGTCAAATTCCAGGTTTGTCTCCAAAGCGCCCCCAGAACCTAGGCAGCTGTTTCTAAGCAAAAGGTCACAAGCCCATTTCAGGTCAGTGACCTTGTTTAACCTTTTGGAGGGCACGGAGATCAAAAGCATACAAGACTGCTCTGCATTTTGCATTTGAATAAGCGACAAATATTGCGGTAGGCAGTATGTTCCTAAAACACAACGTTCGACCCGGCTCATCTTAGGTCAATGGTCTGTTCTGACCTCTAAAGAGTCAACTGAAGATGTATAATGCGGTTCCTGCTGTCAATAGATTCGAAATGAGCACCAGAAACTATCCCATACAGCAAGCCATAGAGTAATATATCAGGCTGGTTTTGACCTTAGTCTGACCAGCGCACCTGACCTTAGGTCAACGTAATTTGTTCATTCAATATTTGTGGTGCCTAAGAAAGCATCTCAGAGATGTACGTCTTCGTCAAACACTCCGTTGTTGTGTGAGATTGAACGATTTCCTAGAAATTGCCTTCGCTGAAACCATGTGCTGACTTTGAACTGTCATAGGTCAGCGACCTTACAAGGTACACCTAAACTTTGGATGTCAAACGATCCGCTATGCAATTTGCTACAGCTATGCAAAATTTGGCGCCACTGCACCCCGCCGTTCAGAAACCATTCTGGAAAAGCCTTCGGGGGGGGGGGGCAATTTGCCCTTCACCCCTCACCCGAGCGCGTGTTAATGTATTCCGTTTCACTTTAACGGCCTAATATGTTAATAATAAACGAAATAGTTTTGTCAGGTTCCTGATATTACGTCCATGCCAACTTGAAACAGATATCTTTGTTTGCTGAGGCATCAGTCACGAGGTCATAAGTTCCATCTTTTGTGAATTGATTTTTTCACTCCCGCACGGTCTTTTTGCGACGAAATTTTTCACTCCCACCCTAGTTCAAAAGCGATTCTAGGCTCCTGTATGTATGTGCTGCCATAGGCTCCGTTTACAAGGATTTTGGTATTACCTAGATGGCAACGCTGGCGTCCGTTATCATCGCAGCCTTGTCCCACTTCTCTGCTGGTTAATTAGTGACTAACATGTTGTCGCCAGTCCGATTGTAATTACGTTGGGACGAAGTTTTGACGATCGCAATACTAATCGTGTGACTCCTCAATCGATGCACTCGCTAGACCTTAATAACTGTTTTGACATTTTCCGTCAGTGATTACCACGACTTACGCATGATTTATTTCTTGATTTGCGTAGCGGAGTTAATGAAGGTCCTTTGGATTGCGAGGATCAGGAGGAATGACATTCCTAGCCATGATACTATGGGTGACAGTCTACAAGTACGTCTCATAACGTCTCTGATAAATTTTTTCACAGAACACCGGTCGACGCTGTCAAGGTTCACGTCTACATGGAATCGTTATCTGCCAACGTCATCAAGGAAGCACCCGCCTTTACGGTCAGTACATTTATTGTCAAATCATATCACGCCGTAGTTCACCTCCCTTCGTAATTTCAAGCAGCATGTGCTGTTCCGACTTCCATGCAAATGTTTTCGTGGTGCATGTGCACATCATTTTTAGATTAATCGGAGTGCTCACCGACAAACAGTTTTTATTTACATGCACACGCAGGATGCCATTTCCTTTTCACAGAAACAGAACTGACTATTACAAGACTAATTGATTTCAAGGCGTAAGGCCCTTTTGAATGATTGCTCCCACTTTTGGGCGTTGACTACCTCCAGGAAATTTAGACACTTCCGTACCGACTCTGCTCCACGAGGACTGGGCACAGAAATAGCCCTCAATGTATTTTACTCTGTCATGACCTTCAACCACAGTTAAACCGACGCACGTGAAAATATGTGCTTTACCGGCTGTCAAGAGGTTTTGCTATTAACTAGAAATCCGCAATGGCTTTCCACGAATCCGCGTCTACCACAGAAACTAGCCTTGCGTCTTCCGTAAATATGTTGTGCTGACAGATCTAACATTGCTCCTCCCGTGTTCCGTCCCACAGGAGCTGACCTTGGACCTCCCATGTACTGTATCACAGTAGTTGACACTGTACCTTCCGTGTTCTTCCCATAAGCTGAACTTGATTCTCTCTGTACCGTACCCCATGAGCTGACCTTGCTCCTCCCGTGCACTGTACCCCAGGAACTGATCCTGCTTCTCCCGTGTACTGTACCCCAGGTGCTGGCCCTGCTTCTCTTGTGTACTGTACCCCAGGTGCTGGCCCTGCTCCTCCCGTGTACTGTACCCCAGGAGCTGACCCTGCCAATCCCGTGTACTGTACCCCAGGAACTGACCCTGCTCCTCCCGTGTACTGTACCCCAGAACCTGGCACTGCTTCTCCCGTGTACTGCACCCCAGGTGCTGGCCCTGCTCCTCCCGTGTACTGTGCACCAGGAACTGACCCTGCTCCTCCCGTGTACTGTACCCCAGGAGGTGACCCTGATCGCCAACGTGGGCGGCTCGTTCGGACTGTTCATCGGACTCTCACTGGTGACGATCGTGGAGCTGCTGGAGTTCCTTTGCGATTTCCTCGCCATGGGGTTCGCCAGACTCAGATTCTCTGACCGGCCGGTCGGACACAGGAAGGTCGCGTCTGCTCCGTAGCGGCTGTTCGTCATTCGAGAGCAGTGCCAACATCACGAGCACTTCCGTCTGACGAGAAAGTGCACGGAACTCGACTGGAAATATCAACCGTTTGTACAAAAATTATTCGATTGAAATGCCAAAAAGTATTTCAAAAATGTAGATAGGGGTTTTCATGCTTACGCACTTAACACGCATTCGGACTATTGTCCCCGTCTTGTGTGGTTGTATCTTCAGAGCTGTCACTTAACTCAGCTGTGTCACCTCAAGCCGACACCGAGCTCGCTGCACAATTTAGCTATATCTGAGCGTGGCTTGGTAATCTCTCGAGACTAGAAGCCCACGAGGAGTATTTTCAGACCGCAGTTTCCGAGTCTGCCCTCAAGCAGCCTATTCTGCAGCAATCACAAAAGCGTTGGGTGATCACACCTTATTTGAACGTGTCTGCCAACGCTGTTCATCAGGAAGTCAATAAATCACCTTAGTGTTACACTATAGATGCAGTGACAATTTGCTCATGCCACTTTAGAAGCTTTGCGATCGCAGCAGCTTTTTATTGGAGGAGGAGGCTTTGCTATCGGATATCGCAGTCACTCTAACAGCATTGAGATAGGCGTGATGCTTACATACGTCATGTGGGTAATGATTATTTGCGTTTTAGGGCACGCGAACTGCATCGGTATAGGGCGCCCACGATGCATGCAATATCACTAGACGAATAATCTGGCCGTATCAGCGATGTTAGCAGCGAAAGTGATGCGATGTTTTTGTCGTTCACCTACGGCACTTGGGGCGCGGCGGCTAGTGGTGACGATTCGGTGACTGCATGGGTGCGATAGTTTTTCATTCTGCGTTACTTAAGGGGTACGATGGTCTTATGTCGCTAGGGAGGAGCGATGGTTTGATATCGCTTATGATCATTAGACGAATACAGTGAAATTGCGTCGTCCGCGATGTGACCGGAGACGTTCTGCCATTGTGTGCGATCTTCATCGAAAGATGTAGTGGGCCCGTGATCTGCATCACTGGCAGATCGAGGTCGTAGCAGTTCTGTCACTGGATAGCCGCCCAGATCGTAGCATCATGGTCATGAGGGGCTTTTCGTTGTTGGCAGATCTCTTGCGTTCTGTATATCGTTACATATTAGTGCTGTAATGTTCCCGGCGTGGTTGTGATGCAAACATTTTTTAGCGTGATGGCGTGTCCAGGGACGTCTCTTTTAGGGATACAACAGGTCTGTTAGCAAGAAGCAACATAATTTCCGACGACGACGTGTTAACGGCCCCTATCCAGCGACGAAGCTGTCTCGCAACATTACCAACTCAGAGACACACCACTCCGTTGCAACGTAGTGTGCGCTGCTTACAACACTGGATCACTGAGAAGGTTTAAGAGAAGTTGACTGTGAAATGTGTGTGTAAATTTGTGCCTTGTGGAGTGGATGTGTCACTTGAGTTGCGTGGTGCGTGCCATTGCAGGGAATAACTAATTTTTGTCCGCTTGTCACTTGGGACTGCTGTGGTGATTCCGTCCAACGTCACCATTGAGAACTGTGGCGGTACCGAGCCCGTCTCTAAACAGATAACACGATCATGTCAGTTTATTACCAGATACCTAGCGTCTCTCGGCGGCGGATTCGCAAGCAGGGCCGTGGTGGTAGCAGACAATACCAGTATTCTACGTTATCTTGTTGTGGGAGAATTTTACAGAGGGCTTACCAGGTAGGTTTACAAATCAGTTGTAGTATGGACTTTCGCTCCATCAAAGGGAGTGCTTCACCCCTGGGCATGTTTCAAAAACACACTCAAATGAGGCCTCAGCACCAGTTGCTTCTAATTACAGCACTCGGTAGTGCCACTGCAGCACCGTCAAGGCACGATCCCGATATTAATTTTGATCGTTTTCGAGTCCAAGTTACGCTGTCAACGCTTTGTGACAGCACTGCCCTTCTTCCTGCAGTCGCAACCACTGTCGTCATGAAAACCGCCGTGGCATCTCCACTGGCGCGAGAAAAGGAACGTATGGGATTAGCCCGGAGATTGGCAAGGGCCTGTTACCGGGAGCGCACTGTTACTGGTTGAAGTTGGAGCCAGCGCGCCGCTATGGACCATGTGATGCTTCCATTCCCAACACCAAGGTACGCCTCGAAACGAGCCACTGTGGTGAAAGCCATAGGGGAGAAATCAAAGTCAAAGTAAGCCGTTTCATTGAATTCGCCGGAAAATAGTTTCATTTCACATATATTTTTGTTTAAACAGGGTGTTTCAATCTTTCACAATATCTTTTACACGAGATTTTTGACAAATTAGTGTGTTTCAAACATTACAGCAGAGTCACCTTGAGAAAAGCGAGGGAAATCAAGTGCATGGCTTTCATACCAGTGAGCAGGGAGTCAGGTGTTTTTTCCGCAGGAGCGCCTACTTGACATAAAAATTAAGAGCCATTCAGAAGGATTTCGGGAGAACTGGTAGTACTGATCAAAATACGCTTGCATGATTTCACCACAAATGAAAAACACAAAAACACGGCATACTCCCTTTAATGCAAGATCTTAAGTGTACACCTGATTTACATAAGCTGTTCGATTCGTCGATGTAACGTGTGAACATGAGTGCCTCGCGTGATATTTGCCTTTGTGGCCTCGTACAATGTGTCTCACTTGATGTCACTGAGAATAAATATGACTGGGGTTTTCTGTGTGAGCCATGTGCGCGCACGCACACCAGGACATTGGATCTGGGATGGGAGAATTTTTGCTGTAACCTAATGCATCAAACATTTCCCACAGGTTTTTGCCTTCCTATGCGTAGTTGTTTGGACCTATTCGTGAACACCGGCAGTGCCATACACAACAGCATCAGAAACGGAAAATGCTGTTCATCGTGTGGTAGCTTTATGTTTAGTTTCATGGATGTTTCGCTTTTGGTATGTGCGCACATGTACTGCATAATTGTCAACAGCCAACACTTATCAGTGTGCCATTGGTTTCTTTGTAATGCTATTGTTAGCTTTCATGCTGATAAACAAACTTCGCAAAGCAAGAAGTTCGCGAAGAGGATGAACCCATACAAGCCTTTGTAATTTTGCCTTCTTATTTGTCAGTTTGCTCTTTTGCAGAAGAAAGGACACAAGCTGATGGGACCCTAAGACATTTGACGGATCCTGCAACGTGCCATGCCCTGGACCAGCCTTTTCCTGTGTCACTAAATGATGCTCGTTTCTTGTACTAATGATTGCGGACGATTATGATTGGACGATTTGGTTATGGTTGATAACGAAAAACAAATGGACAGTGGTTACGTACAACACGTATTTTGGTAGCGTTTTACTCTGGCAAACCGAACAGGTAGAGGCATGAGGCTGCGTGGTGTATGTGAGTAAACCGTCTATCATTTACCCAGTGATCTCAGCTGAGATTGTTACTGTCAGCGATGTGACTCTGTCCTGCCCATACAGCTATAACCTCACCAGTAGTTGACTGGGAAGGGGTCAGTATCGCCCTTTCAGAAACTGGTCTCAACAGCACGGCGCTGCCTACATCGAGGGAGACTGGGCCGCCAGCATCACAGGCGTGTGATACTGGCGGCCCAAACACACTCGGTTGCGTTACATTGAGCGTAACGCACCAAAAGGGAAACGTCCGTTTGATTTGTAGTTGAGCTAGTACAAAATAAAAACCAGCATGTTGCTTGTCATGAGAGCAAGCCAGCTGTGAGGAGTTTCAGGTTAAAAGATTCCCCTCCCATCCCCTCCGTACGCTTCGGTTCCACTTCAACAAGCTCCTTTCTTCCCCTCAATGCGCAACGCTATGTATGGACATCCCAGAGCAGAGGTTTCCTTTGAATGTCGCATGCGACTGCCTGGCAGGCACCAACAGTAAGCAGTGACGCCATCTAGCCGTCAGATGGCATAACACCATTGCGCCACCTAGAACCGGGGCTGGGTAAGACACGCAGGGGTTTGAACAGCTTGCCAACATCTCTCGCTCGTCTCACAGCGTTGAGATTACAGTTGCAACATCCCTCTTGCATCGAACCACGCCTATTATATCTATCCACGCCTATCATCACTTGAATGGCTACTGCTGGCAAACTCCCACTAACTTTCTGTGCTAGCGTAAGTGCATGCACTGTACATGACTACATGCACTCGTGACCACATCACTACGTGGCTACATGACCACATGCACTCGTGTGCGCATGAAGTCACACACGAGTGCCTTAGATTCTGTCATCCTCGACAGCTTGCCCCATGTGTTGGGCGCCTGCACGCCGCGTGTTCAGCTACACATGGTTTGTGTTTGTGCTTGCAGTTAAGTGTTTACCTGAAGATTGTTTGGTTAGTTCTAACAACTTGCGAGTTCAACAGGAAAGCCGACTAAAGGTTGAATATGTTAAATACGGGTAGCATCTGAAGCTGCACCGAAATAGCCTCAATGAACGCCAGTACGGGCGGCATAATGGTTTGCGTCTGGTCGGGGGCGTTGTGTCGCATGATATAGTACGTAACGCACTGCATCACATGCCGGTGGTTTCCTTTCACGGCATGGGATTTGTGACATGCCAAATCAAGGCTTCTAGAGAAGGACACGCAGACGTGACGTCACCATGGAACTAAGTTTGGTAACCCGTAGTATGGTTTTTGGCTGATACTACGCGAAGGTTGGTAGATACTAGTGACATGATTACGAACAGAGATTTCATCCATGGACTGGGTGAACACCCTGTTCTACATCTTTACTTCAGTATTATGTGAATAAATATTGTGCTGCTTGCATTCAAAATCTTCCAAAGTTAAATCGGTACTACGATCTGCTCCCAAAAATAGATCCTACTAAACCGCGTTTTCTAGGTTTAGTGCCCGCGCCACATTCGTTGTAGTCAACGCGTCTGAACATTTATATGTAACGTCTCTTTGTGACATGTATGTTTATTTGCGAATAAGTGAATATCAAGAGCATCGTCACACTAGATTTATAAATGGGCAATGATCGTCCATTTATCGTCGCACTGCAGTACCTAAATGGAGTAAAATGTGAAAATAAGGAAATGTGAGCAGGGCAGGTGCCAAAAATTCCGCTGTTTCTTTACTATATGATCTTGCTAGTTGTTGGTTAACTTGCAGATCCGTAATGTCGAATGGCTTAGGTGGAAAGGGTACGCAGGGAATAATACCCCGACTAGCCCTGAATATTCCCAAGACTATTTCCCAGCTGAGATATGGGCTGCCACACTTTGACTTGCGGAAACTGCAAAAGTTCCCAGAAACTGCCCCATTCTAAGGGAAAATCTGCTATCTTGAACTAAAATGGCGCTCTGCATTAAAACCTCCCGGAGTTCACCCCTCACTGCCTCCACTAGGGTAAGCTAAGCCTGCATCCACCCCAGCAACGCCCCTAAGGCTACAGAATGTGCATTCCAATTTCTCAATGCGCATCCCACGGTGCTGCAAGCCCGTCTAGGCCGCCGTTTCTCATCTCCACCCTATGTTGTTGTTGTATGTCACACTTTTTCACACAGACTGTTTCTAAGCACTTCCGGCTAGAGTTCCCCGGGATAAATCACTGGTAAATGGGTGAATGGGTTACCCCATCTCTTTGTCGGGGGCAGCCTGGTTGCGCATTTCAGCAATAATTTTTAGGTCAGGTGCAAACCAATGTCATCTCCCAGCCAAGAATACTTCATTGAATGTGCTAGGTCTTGAAAAAGTTTGGTTTATGGAAGTATTTATGTTTAAACCAGCCCGCAAAAGCAGCGTTTTCACACGACCGTAGCATTGGTGCCATATGACTTAGTCCCATGATGACACCACAGCATCGCTTCCCAGAATGCAGGATTGCGAGGGTTTGATGCCAAATCAGGTCAAGAGGGTCAGTCAAGGCACGGTGCGGCCCAGCAATGCGATATAAAAACTAGGCTTAGTATGATGAGAGTAATATGGATGTTTCAAGCTGATGCAAAAATCAGTTTCAGACGAAATCATACACCTCTGAGATGGCTTCTTAGCGAAAGAGATAGTCGAAATTTCTTTACAACGAACTCTCATAATTCCAATCGCTTTTTACCATTAGGTTTCTGACTGGTAAATTTGCTTTATGAGGTCACGTTTGACAACCATTTTGAATTCCTTGATCGGGAAGACTGTGACGGCTTTCTCATGTTGACTTGATGGAGGTCCGGGACAGTCGCGGACTTTTGGTGACCTGGGTCAGCTCTGTGCCTTGGAAAGCTTGCTGCTTGGTGAGTGGTTCTTGACGGTGATTTTCGATTCAAATAGTGTAATGATCTTGAAGTTTTTCGCACTTCTCACCTTTTAAAGGCCAAGTAAGGTCACCGACATGGAAGGACCCGGCCTGAAAGTTCTTTTGGGTGAGCTATCTGGGTTTGGGTTGGGTGCGTTAGAAAATATGTGTGCACTTCCCACAGTCAATTCGATTTTGCCCTTGTTGGTCCTTAGCGGACCCGAACGTAACGACCTATAGCTGCTTTAACACCTGTAGTCGTGTTGTTATCAAACACAAAAGAATCTATATAGATTCCTATCGACCCTGTGAGTTCGGTGTTTCTGATTTTTTCCTCTTCATGTCTCCGGGCTTCAACCTGGCCCATCCCTACACCCGACCGAGCGCTTCCTTTTCAACCGGCTACCCGGCGCGTGTCGAGAGATGGTAGAAATTAAAGCCCGCATGTTATGTACGACTTCTACCCCAACCATTCTTCAGTGCCGCTTATGGTTGACTAGTCGGTTTGCGTCAAAGTGCCCGAAAAACCGTGGGGGCTGCCACACCCCCGTCCTGACTCGATTTAACAGCCCGAAATAGCACACCTCTTACCGAGCAACACGCCGGCGGAGGCGGTCGTTAAACACCGGCCTCCGAGGATGGCGGCGGCCGCGGGGCGACGCCCAGCGTTGCCGGTATGTGCGGCCGCCTCCCTGACCTTGCCCCTGGAGTCGGCGGGCCCATTCAAGGCCGACCCAGCGACGGCGACCGGTTGGCAGGCGCTCGACTAGATCTGAGGGGCTGCATCTGATCTTGTCATGCACCGTTATAACCAGCACGATATAACATGCATCATCCGGAGGCGAAGACTTGTTCACACACATATGAACGACGCAAACGTAAGTGCAGTAGCGTTGCATGCACGCGCATACACACGCGCGCGTGGTGTGCACGAAACGACAGTAGCAGACAGTGATCCGAGTACGCTCCGACAGCTGCCTGGGCGGGGTTTGTTTGTGCTCACAACGTGTTTGTTAAAGAACCGCCAAGTTCAACAGGGGTCGTGGACAACGGCTCGGCAGCTAATCGTTTTCCAGTGTCAGTGTCAATGCCTCCGAAGAACGCTGATATCAAATCAGTTTAAAAACCGTGGTCAGTCATACCAGTTGTCTTCAAATCATATTTATGCATGAATGAACGGTGTGTGTGTTTAAGCACTGGCTTCACTTTCAGACTGAAGGATACCGTCGCAAATTAGTGAGGAAGGTTTTCCTCTTAAACGTTCGCCGAAACATGTTGGTACAATTGATAAGTTGGGCTGGAGCCACAGGGTGTGTTCTAACGCCATTACTCCCAAAACGAACATAGAATCATGACAAAATGAGGTTTGTCAGGCCAAACACCTGATAACATCGTCACTTTTGCGCTTTGACCTTGGCCGTAACACTAATTGCAATTGCTTAACTGC